AGCTTGCGGGCGCGCCGCTGAGACCAACGCCCGCACCTCAGACACAGAAGCTGCAACGTGGGCCTGCAGGCCCTTGGCCCGGGGGGGCCCCTGGGGTGGATCTCGTGGGAAGCCGCGCCAACTATCAGGTGCCCCAGGGAACGGCGGACGACACTACGAACGAAAAGCGGGGCCCCAGGACACCCCGTCACCTCGGCACTAGGGGCCTGCGGGGCCAGCGAAAAACAGTGCTTACACTGGGAGCCTAAAGGTCCATCCTGCCACTCGTGCCAAGAGGGTCCCGCCCTAACAGAGCTGTGCCTCGCAAGCGGGCGGTCACGGCGCTGACGGCGGTTCCCACACTCTGGGAGAATGGCGGCAGCCAGCTTGACAAAATTGGAGACCTGATCCATGTCACGATCGAGTCTCATGGCAGCCTCGGGACCGGTGGGGGCGTGCAACAACAACGCCTGCTTGGCATCGATGTCAGCCTCCCAATTGCTTCGCGCAATCACGCGCTCGTGAGGCGGCAATGCATCGATGACTTCGTTGCTACGATGGGCCTTCACATGCTGAACCGCCTGGGTGTGCTGGAATCCTGGCAACGACCTAGCGAACGCAGACACGCCAGCAAACAAATTGTTGGGTCGGAGCTGCGCAGCTCGGGGTAACAATGCCTGCGAGATGGCAGTCTTACAGTCAGCGTGAATGTACACTGGTCGATCTGCAATCTGACATGCCACCGCTAGGGCAAAATTATCAGCCATCGCTGGGGTCTGCGGGAAGCCAGCTGGAATGACCCCTCGGAGGGCCGCGCAAGTTTTGGGAGGCGAAGGCTGAAACAATGATCACGCTGTAAGCTGCTCGCTGGAAAACAGAGAGCGTAGGCATCGTGCTGCTGCCGTCAACTGCAATGTGGAGACTCTGTGAGGCCCCCGCAAACTGGACTATCTCTTCTATGTCAGTGTCAGGCAACAAAGCCCCATCACCTGTGAGCACTTGGGCAACAGGCTGGGAAGAAATCGGTGGTACATCTTCATCTTCGATGACGACCGCACCTCGCACATAGAGCCGACAGTCGGGCCCAGCCTCGGGGCCAGACCGAACGAAACTCTGCGAGACGCCGGAGGAGGCGCGAGCCTCGAGGATATGTGGTAACTGACATTCGTAAAGTCTATGAAACACTGTGTCTGGCTTGCCGCACTGGTACTGACCTCCACGATCCGTTGCGTACTCTTTTTCATGGGCATGCGACTCTGTCCAGAGGCAACCGCACAGACACGACCGAACTAAATACTTCTGGTACCGCGTGTACTTCTTGGTTCGAAGCGCACGACTGACTGGTTCCAGGCTGGCCTTATGACCTCCGACCCCCAACTGCTCCCCGAACGTCCTTTCGTGGCCAGCCTGGGACGAAACCTTAAACATCCCAAGGGGCAGACTGGGCGACGCGTGGGTAAGGTCTATCTGAACCCCATTGTGGCCCTTCCAAAGGGTGGCTGAAACGGCTTGCCAGCCCGCGCGGGCCAGGCAGAGGAGGACGCGGCCGACAGGCCCTTTTGACTGTGCCCAAGAAGCTGGGGCCACAAGGCCGTAGTGAAACACGCGGGCCCAGATCCACTTGAGCTCTTGGGTGCCTACCAGAGCCTCCTGGGGGAACATGTGGGCCTGCCAGACCAGCTTAGCCCACTGTAGGGCGAGGGCCATGGCTTCACGGGTCATGGGTTCTCCATGGAGGGCCAATTTAGCCCTAAAACTAGCACCTTTAGTGGTGGGCGACTTAAAAGACAGGGCTTGGCGGCGTAGCGATAGCAGCTCACGATCATCAACTCCGTTGACTTCAACTCCATACTGCGAGCCCAACTTGATTCCTGTTGCGAATGCCCGCCCAAGTTTCTCATCAGCCATCCGCATTGATCTGCGCCTGGCAGACTTAGCTAAACGTTGGCGTGCTTTGCGGGTGCGATTGGGGCGCTTCCTGCCCGTGAAGGGGTGGGCACGTCGGCGGGCAGCGGCATAGTCCGTCCCAAGGTACGCAACCGCAGGGCGCACCTTCTGTCGATCCAATCCTATCTGTCCTGCCACATCTTGACCGAGTTGAGGAACATTTGACACGATCGCCACCTTATCATTGAGGGTGGCCTCCAGTGAATAGGAAACTCTGAAGACATCCTGGCCTGCCTGAGCGGCAACACCTAGTGCCACATCACGGTCAGCTCCCGAAACATGAACTCCCGTGTCGTCGATGTAGCTCATGAAATCAACCGCGGGATTCCGCACCAAAAACTTATCATATTCTGTAACTGTGAAGACACGCACCGCTACATCAGCGTAGGCGCGACCCGCAGGGAGGCCGTACTTGGCGCGGAGCACGGTGGGGCTGCGGCGCAGGCCGAGACGAATGATGCGCGGCCCCCTCCAAGTATTGCACATCAGCTTCATCATGGGCATCGGAATCCCACAGGCAATCATTATATCACGAAGGGTTTCGGGCGGTATACCCTCGTAGAACTTGCTGTAGTCCATCAGGAGCAGCGCGCTGTAGTGGTCGTCGGCCGTGGCTGCCTCCCAGCGGGAAGCCTGGAACCAATGTAAATCCAATGCGCTCCTGCCAGCAATCGCACCCCAGCGTCGTCGCTTGAGCGCGTCATGCATTAGGCCAAGGGGGTCACGCCGGTACTTCTGCCAAAGGCGATGGGCACCAGCATAGAGAATGACTAGGCGATGGCCTGAGTCAGGCTTCGCCAACATCGGCATGACAATCATGACAATGCAAGAAAGTCGCCTTGGTAGAAGGCCGATGGCTCGCAGGCCTGGTGCAGCGTGGCCAACACTTCGAGCGCATGGTCAGGTAGGAGCGAGAAACGTCGGGGATGAATTCGAGCCACACTGGCCACTGTCGTGTGTGGGAACGTCATTGATACTTCTCTCAGCTGTGCTGCCGTCGCTCGAGGCAGCGCTGACCTGTCGGGTGTCCAGGCAGGCAACGGAGAGTCAGAGGCATGCCACCACCGACGGTACTTGTCAACTTCAGCTGCTACTACATCATGTGGGCGATCATACTTGCCATTCACAGTTGCAACCACTGTTGGACGCGGTGCATCAGGAACACGAGTCGCACGGTGAAGGCCACGACCACCATTGGCTGAGGCAGTATCACACCAGTCCTGCCACCGCTGCCACGACTCCCGTTGATCCGCTGCCTGAATATCGTGAACCTGCTTTGCAAAATCTGCACGCCGTTCAGTGAGGACAGTAGCTGCTGTCCTGGCCTCGGGCCGCATGGCCTCGACTGCGCCATCGCAGGAGGCAGCCTCAACGCCGCGCAGGCCCGCTGGGGCGCGGGCGGAGGCAGCGGTCTCGCTTGACCGTGCGCACCCTGGGGCTATGTCACCAGCCAGGTAGGGGGCAACGACCGCCCCCCCGTCGGGGGCCCCTACCTGGTTAGCTGCGCGGGAGAGGGGCCCCCCTTCTGACCCCGAAGGGCGGGCCCACCCGTCGGTGGCCTGTCGCGCAGAAGTGACGCCACTCCAGGGTTCGCATGATCCGAGATAGGACAAACACCACCTGTCTCCTGCTCGTGTTGTAAATCATCGAAAGGATCGCGCCAATCATCGTCGAAGCGATTGGTCTGTGGCTGGCGCAGTCGCGGCTGCAGGGGCGGATCATCACGGGGTTCCCCAGCAGCCATTGCACAGGCCCTGTCAAGCATGAAGCGGCCATCGCGGACAGCATTGTCAAGGTCATCGTTGAGGCCTTGACCATGATACTGCTCCGCAAGAAAGGCACCCAGCTCCGCCTGGAGCGCGACCACGGGCGCGCTGGGGTCCTGGGGCAGCTTAGCGAAGTTGGCCAGGGCCTGGTCTAACCACATCCACCCGTGCGCGATGGCCGTCGCCCCCGAGAGAGGTAGAGGTCGGTGATGGTGGTCAACCCAGCGCGGCTTCGGCGGAGCACCCCGCGTAGTATTGGCTCGCTCACTGCTGGTAAGGATGCGGATCTCAACCTCCGCGGTAGCCGCGAAAGTAGCCCAAGCCTGTGTAAGGAGCCTCCACGCCACACGTAGGTCACCATCGCGGCAAGCCCCCCCAGCGGCTTGAGCCGGGTGGGCAGCCGCAGCCCAGCATGGCCCAGGCTGGCAAGGACCACAGACACAATGTGTATCCAACTTGACACCCACGGCATACGCAAGGCACTGCTGGCGTAATCCTTGGTCCGTCAATCCAAGCACAGTCGGCCTATGAGGCCGCTTGGGCCAAGCAGAATCAACCATGACGTAGTCAACCAAATGGCGTGCCGCTGCATTGACCGCGAAGAAATCAACCGCACGGCTCGTGGTGGGCGAAATGCACGTAGGTAGTGGGGTGGGGGGGGGGGGGGGGCGACGATCGCGACTTGAGCCTCCCTGGTAAAACCTGCCTCCTCGACTTGGGGGGTGGGTGGGGGGGGGGGGGGCGTTCCAATCTGCAGCAATCACTACAGGATGACGAAGCGAAGCGATACGATGGCCAACCTGGGCCACTATGCTGGCATTTCGCCCCTGGGTGCCTTGTCACACCGCTAGGTACATGACAATGAGGTGCAGGGGTGGCCATCCTGGGAAGCGTACCACTGCGTGCAACGCACGGTGCGGGTGCACGACCATCGCAGCCTGGTCAGGTCCGCGAAGGCCGATGCGGGTTCGAGCCAACACTGCAACACCCTGCATCGGCGTCGTCGAGCGCGACGGTTTTTCTGGGAGAAAGAATCACATGCCAACCGCACCTGCCAGCCCAGGCAGTAAGCTCATCTTTCTGGTCGGCTGTAATCCCAACCTCCTGGGCCACGAAAACGACGGCGGGGGTCTGCTGAATCCTCTCCTTCAAATTACGAAGGCCACGGTTGGCATTGAAGGGCTCGATACGTAGCGTTGCCCGTGGCTCAGGCGTAGGTGGCTGGCGTACACGCCCGCGGTGGACAGGGAGACAGGTGGCAACAACAGGTTGCGGGTCAAACTCGCGACTTCTTGGTCTTGTGGAGGCCTGCAATGAGCTCGTTGAAGGTGGCCTCGAACTGGGCCTGGTCAGCGGAGCTAGCGGTAGAACAGGCGAGGTCGTAGAAACTCTTGATCTCCTCGGCGGCGAGCTGTCGCTCGGCCAGGCGTGGGACACCGCGACGTGGAGTCCGATCATCACTAACGTCATCATCTTCAGCAATGCCCATGGCAGCACCTGGGTCATCTTCATCGCCCGAGTCAGCGACGGGGACGGCAGCCGCGAACGTCTTACCAACCTGGGCCTCAACCGAGGAGAGTAGCAATGCGGCCTGGTCACCCATGCCTTTGACGAGCTCCTGGGCCTGCGGTGGGAGCTCAGCCTGGTTGAACTTGAACGGGTGGCCCATCGCCTTCGCGGGGGCCACCGCCTTGGCGGCGGCCGCGAACTCCTCCTCCAGGGTCGCAGTCTCCACGGACCTGGCGGCGATGGCAGCAGACTTGTTCTCCAGCGCCGTCTGGATGTGCTGGGGCTGCGACTGCAACTTGTCGCGGTCCTATGTGAGCTGCTTGAACATATTCTTCGCATTCTTGAGCTTATCTTGAGCTCGACGGTGCGCATTGTCAGGAGACTGGCACTTGTCGAGGCGTTCACGGAACTGGCCAGCCTTCTGCGCATGCATAGCCTTCGCAGAGGCAGGGGCATGCGGGTGGCGAGCTTCTCGAAATAGGCCGCCTGGGCCTGGAGGTCCTCGCCCGAGTCACCATCGGACGCGTCAGCTCCATCATCTGTGCTGGCACTCGGGTTTGACTGGCGGAGCTGCGACTGGAGCTCCGGGACCTGCTTACGAAGCTGGAGCAGCGTGTCCTGGGCCCACGGTGCAACGGATGCGGGACCCTGACGCCTGCCAGGAGGTGCGACCGAGCGGCTGGGCGGCTCGGAGCTGGCATGGGCCTTCTTCGCTGCAGTGAGGACCTTCTGCGGGGCACTCCGTCCAAAACGGCATCGGATCCTTGACGCCCAGTTGCGCTCCGCCCCACACGCACAGCCCCACAGTGGCGTGCGCGGGCCGTGGAGAACGTCAGGGAGCGGTGGCGCCATGGGAGATCCTGGAGCTCGGGGACAGAGGGTGCAGGTGCCCAACTCCTGCAGCAAAGGCGAGGAAATTCGTAGTCTGGCCGCGGACTAGCGGTATCCGTTTTGGCCCCAAGGGAACCTGACATCTTGAGCCAAAATGGCTACGAAAGAGGAGGAGGAGGAGGAGAAGGAGGAAGAGGAGGAGGAGGAGGACGAGGACGAGGACGAGGAGGGCTCCCGGCTGTGGGGTCACACAACCCCAGCCTTGTCTCGGTCGGCGCTGACTGCAGAAATCCGACGTCGTGTTTTTTTTCGCAGCGTGAGCCCCTCGGAAGCTGGAAGCACTCCCCGGGGACTACGTGATATTTCATTCTCTGGTCTGGCACACGGCCCCTATGGCCCATAGCCTCGCAACCCTGCCAAACGCACTGGCTGGCACCGGCGCAGCGCAGCGCAGGCGGCGGCACCCGAGGCGGCGGGCTGCCTGCGCGCTTGGTCCTGCGCGCGCGGGGGGGCTCAAGCTCGGCGGGGCCAGCGGGGGGGGCGGGCGGGCGGCGAGGGCGGGGTGGGAGGGGAGTCGGAGCGCAGAGCAGAAAAACAGGAAACACTTGCATCGTTACCCTTCTTAGTCAGACCTCCTTCGAGATAGGCATCGAACAAATTCGCATCTTCAGTGGTTCGTGAAGTCCTTGCTGTACACTTTCTCAGGAACGCGTTTTGCTCCATACAAGCCCCTGTGCCCCCCCCATCCCCCCCGGTAATGGCCGTTTCTGCCAAGGGATTGAAAACGGGCCCCTGGGTCAGAGAGGTGGGTAATGCAGGGGATGGCTATCAAACGTCCCATCACGTGCGCACTCCGTGGGCCATTTGGCGCTGGCGCGACAGGGATGCGGACCGGTCGCCCCCACCTGAGACCCAAGACCCCGTGCCCAAACGGCGCACTCTGCAGGAGTCCCGCCGCGCGCGTGCCGCACGCAGCGCCTGAGAGGGGAGCGAGCAGCATGCGCCATGGGGCGGTCGACGAGGAGGTGGGAGGGGAGCTAGATCCGAGGGGTGGGAAATGGGGGGGGGGCGGGCAGGAAGCAGCAGGAGAGAGGGGGGAATCTGAAGTGGATGGGAGCGGGGGCTGGGAGGACGGACCGGGCAGCCTCCAGGGGAAGGACTCGCATGCTCCCCAACCTCCTTCTCCTCCACATCCCCTCTCTCAACTTCGGCGGGCGGTGGGAAAGACCAGCCCGCATCAAACCGCAAAATCGCATCAGATAGGAACATGTGTCCGATCGTGCTGCATCGGCCCAGAGTCGGAAGCCAACCGAATCGGTCGCGCCCGGATGCACAACAGCGCCGTCCAGGCATCGGTCCGCACCCGACCGCTCGCATGCTGGAATCGGATCGGAGCGGGCAGGCCAGAATCCACATCGAAATGGGCCGAGCGAATCGGAACGAATCTGGGACAGGAGGGTGCGGGCTGCCCGACCACGACATTGCGAAGACCCACCAGGCGTGCGTCAGATTCCAGGGAGGGGAGGGCGCTCCCAGCAGTGGAGCGGAGCACCTGCAGCGGCCTCGTGGGAACGGGACTCGGGATGAGAGGGCGCACTGAAGGGTCGCAGATGCATCTCGGGCTGCCTCCGGTCCCCCGCCTGGGAGCCAGGCAGAGCGACACCACCGCCACCCATGCGAGGATGTCTCGTGGACCTCCTCGCTGGAGGTGGCACCCCTGGTGATGGTGTCGGCGCGCTCCTTTCCTCCGATCTCCTGCCCCTTCTCCACCACCACCTCCTCCTCCACCGCCTCCTCCTCCTTCTTCGCCTCCTCCTCCTCTCCCTCCCTCCCCCCCCCCTCTCACCTCTTTGTCTAGGAGGGGGAGCAGGGCTGCTCGACCCAGACTGGCCGCGGTCAGAGGCGGCGCGCGGGGGAAGACTACCATGACGGTTTCCCCCCCTCCCCCCCGACGCAGATCCTCGCAGCCAAACGCGGTCAATAACTCCTCGGGTCCGTGTGCTAGGTCTCGAACAAAATATCCGATCCGAGGGGTCGGCCGTTTCAGGACCTGGGAAGCGCATCCTGCCCCAAACGAGTGTATCAACATGGTGCTCGGACATCCGACCAGCACCACCAAAGATCGGGGATCTAAACTGGCAGATACATCGGGCTCGATGTACGCCTGTGGAAGGAATAAGTTGCATGCCCGAAATAATCCAGACTGGCAGTGTCACGGAATCCTCTTTGCCGAAGAGGATGAGGATGATTGGATCAGGACGAGGCCGCGGCCGATGGCGGCGCGATGGAGAAGCCTAGCATAAAGGAAAAGGGTCCTGAGGGAAAGGAGGAGGAGAAGGAGGAGGAGGAGGGGGAGGGGGAGGAGGGGGTCCTGGACCTCTGGGGCTCAGCTTTCCCCCCAGGAACCAGCTCTTCGCCACGAGCCGTTCTCTGACGGACCCCGGGGCCAGGGCGGGGCCCCCAGAGCCCGATCGCTGCGCCAAAAACGTAGCACCAGATTCCCTCGAGACTCGCCTGCGTCATGCCGAGGTCGCCTACACGCAGGGGTGACCCTAGGCAAGGGTGACCTTTGGTGCGCGGCCCCAGGGGGCCGCGAGGTGGGAGGGGGAGGGCGCAGCCCGACCCCGACCGGCCGTGTCCGAGGGCAATGCGCGGATGCGGGGCAACGATAGGGGGGGGACTGGCTCACGGGGCGACACATTGACCTGCATTCGGCGATACATCGCCGATCTGTCGGCGGTATGCCCTCGATAGCGAAACCGCACGTTTCTGGGCGGGGTGGGGAGCTATCAGACCCCTGTCGATGACAAGTAGGCGATTGGGAGTTGATGCGCTCCCCCCTGAGCATATCCCGCCGCCTATCGTTGACCTTGGGCGTGAATGCAGCCGTATCCTGCCCTATCAATAATCCTGGGCGCATGGACAACCCCCCTGGGCCCATCCACCCCTACAAGTGCTCATCATGTAGTTGCCCCCACCCACTCCCCCTGTCGTTGCCCCTGGGCGCACAAGGGGGGGGGGCGGAGGGCGCGCCTCCAGTGCCCCGCGTGCTTGGCACGCATCGGCCCGCGCCTGGCGGCGCGGGGAAGGCGGCGTAGGGATCCCGCACTCGGTGCCCCTCGGGGAGGCAGGGTCACGTTGATGAGGAGGAGGGGGAAGAGGGAACAGGGAGGAGAAGGAGGAGGAGGAGGAGGAGGAGGAGGAGGGATGACCGCGCGGACGAGGGATAGCGCTGAGGCGCGCTGCGGCGAAAGGAGAAGGACGAACAGGAGGGGAAATGAGGAGGAGGAGGAGGAGGACGAGGAGGCTAGGCCACGATCTCCAACGGCCCTCAGTCCGACCGAACGAAGAGGAGTGGCATAAGAATCTGGAGGGGAAGGAGGAGAAGCGAGGAGGAGCGACGAAGAGAAGCGAGGGGGAGCGAGGCTTGGAGGAGCCCGCCTCCCACTCTGGAGGAAGGTCGTGCCGAACCCGGGGGGGCGGAGCCGAGCGCCCGCTGCGAGCGCTGACCCGCGTCGGGCGTCGAGACTGAGTATCGTTTAACCGATCCCCATCCCCAGCGGCGTGGCCTCGGCCCCACTGGCCGATTTACCCCCCTAGATGGGGATATAGGTCGTTCCCTTCGGGTTTCGAGGGGTGTATTCCCAAATGGGGTGGTAATTTGGTGGGGGACTCGAAAGGAATGGGGATGGGAATGGGCATCGGTTAAACGATGCCGAGAGACGCTCACAAGCAAGATCCGGGTGACCTCCGCGTTCAAGCTGCCGGGAAGCGCACAAGCCAAGAGCCGCCCCGCAAGCCCGGATGCGCCGCCTAGCGTGCTCCACGGCACTGCTCCTGTGCCTCTGCAGGGAGGCGCGCTCTCCCACATAGGAGAACCACACGCTCGACGTCCCTGGCGGGCCCTTTCCCCTACCTGTTCCCCCGCTGCCAGCAGGCTTAGCACGAGGCTGGTGCGCAAAAACGCGGCCCCGATCCAACGGGCGCCCACGATTTTCTCACCTGAGGGGGACGGCAGGGGGGACAAATTGTGGGGGGGAACACCAAGATGGAATCGGCGATACGTCGCCGATGGATCGGCGACGATAGGCCCCCGATGGCAAATTCAAACAGTCTTGGCTGGCGGGGGTGGGCTTCGAAAACAGGCTCGAGAAATCACAGGTTCTCAACAAGCGGTCTGGGTCTGGATATCTACACAACCCTGGGCTCAAAAAAACAATCCACCGACCCCCCGCTTGCCGTGGTGAGAAGGCGTGTGAGATGATTGGCTGTCCCCCTCCCCCATGCCCCCTCCCCAAGGGTCCAGAATCCCGTTGAAAGGGGGCGGGTATCCAGGCATAATGGCTTACCCTTGAAGACTCTGGCGCTTCTAAATCTGCCTTCCGTGGACTCACAGACGTTCCGAGACGGTCCCGAATCGCGGAACGATTGGCCCAAGACGCCTACGATGGCTCCAAGACGCCCCAAGACACCTTGGAGACGCCTCAAGAGCCTTCTCAAGAGGGCCCCGAAAGGCAAACATCCATTGTTCCCGTTGGTTTTGCAATGTTTCTGGGGTTCCATCCTCTCGAGCTTCCAACGCTCCAAGACGGCCCAAGAGGGCCTGTAGACCACCCCGAAAATGTCCAAGAGGCCCCTACGAGGGCCTCCGGACGGCCCAAGAGGCTTCCAAGACGGCCCAGAGAGGGGCCCAAGACGATCAAAGATCACCCGAAAAGCGCCTCAAGAGAGGCGAAGAAGGACGCGAACCGAAAATCCGACCTTTCCGCCGCAAGAGGCCACCCCAAAGGCGAGAGAAGCCCCGCGCGGACCAACAGAGGCCCCCAATAAGCCCCCAAGAGGCCGCCAAGAGGCCAAAAAGAGGCCGCACGGCGGCCCCCAGCACGCTTCAGAACTGCCTCCAAGAGGCTCCGCCAGGTCCCGAAACAACTCCCAAGACGCCGCCAAAAATCCTCAAATAGTGCCCAAGAAGCCCACGACGCATCAACCTTGGACTCCACGCCTCTTCAGTGGTCCGCGAAGTGGCGCAAGCCTCGCGTATAAGAGATCAGAGTGAGGGGGCCGCATTCATTGTCCCTGGGTGCGTGGCTGACTGGGGAATTCGTGGTGCGAGCTATGCTTGTTGCGTAGTAGTAGTAGTAGTAGTAGTAGTAGTAGTAGTAGTAGTAGTAGTAGTAGTAGTAGTAGTAGTAGTAGTAGTAGTAGTAGTAGTAGTAGTAGTAGTAGTAGTAGTAGTAGTAGTAGTAGTAGTAGTAGTAGTAGTAGTAGTAGTAGTAGTAGTAGTAGTAGTAGTAGTAGTAGTAGTAGTAGTAGTAGTAGTAGTAGTAGTAGTAGTAGTAGTAGTAGTAGTAGTAGTAGTAGTAGTAGTAGTAGTAGTAGTAGTAGTAGTAGTAGTAGTAGTAGTAGTAGCAGTAGTAGTAGTAGTAGTAGTAGTAGTAGTCGTAGTAGTAGTAGTAGTAGTAGTAGTAGTAGTAGTAGTAGTAGTAGTAGTAGTCGTAGTAGTAGTAGTAGTAGTAGTAGTAGTAGTAGTAGTAGTAGTAGTAGTAGTAGTAGTAGTATGGTAGTAGTAGTAGTAGTAGTAGTAGTAGTAGTAGTAGTAAGTAGTAGTAGTAGTAGTAGTAGTAGTAGTAGTAGTAGTAGTAGTAGTAGTAGTAGTAGTAGTGTGGTAGTAGTAGTAGTAGTAGTAGTAGTAGTAGTAGTAGTAGTAGAAGCAGCAGCAGCAGCAGCTAGTAGTAGTAGTAGTAGTAGTAGTAGTGTAGTACTAGTAGTAGTGCTAGTAGTAGTAGTAGTAGTATAGTAGTAGTAGTAGTAGTAGTAGTAGTAGTAGTAGTAGTAGTAGTGCCGTAGTAGTATATTAGTAGTAGTAGTAGTAGTAGTAGTAGTAGTAGTAGTAGTAGAAGTAGTAGTAGTAGTAGTAGTAGTAGTGGTAGTACTAGCAGTGGTAGTGGAACTAGTCGTAGTAGTAGTAGTGGTAGTAGTAGTAGCAGTAACAGTAGTAGTCGTAGTAGTAGTAGTAGTAGTAGTAGTAGTAGTAGTAGTAGTAGTAAAAGTAGTAGTAGTAGTAGTAGTAGTAGTAGTAGTAGTAGTGGTAGTAGTAGTAGTCGTAGTAGTCGTAGTAGTAGTAGTAGTAGTAGTCGTAGTCGTAGTCGTCGTCGTAGTAGTAGTAATAGTAGTAGTAGTTGGTGTAGTAGTAGTAGTAGTAGTAGCAGTAGTAGTAGTAGTGGTAGTAGTAGTAGTAATAGTAGTAGTAGTAGTAGCAGTAGTAGTAGTAGTAGTAATATGAATATGAGTAGTAACGTTATTAGTATTATTCCCCACATGCTTCATGGGGTTCTGTTTTTGTCCCACATGTTTCGTGGGGTTATGGTTTTTTTCCTCGCCGCGTCCCACATCATCGTCATCGTCGACGTCATCATCAGCACCATCATCGTCATCGTCATCATCATCGTCATCATCATCATCATCATCAACAACATCGGCTTTACCATCATAATCATAACCGTCGACATCCTCATCATCATCGGCATCACCAGCATCATCACCACCGTCATCAGCATCATCATCGTCGCCATCATCATCGTTGTCATCGTCCTCCTCGTCCTCCTCTTCCTCGTCCTCCTCCTTACACCCATCCTCACTATCGTCATCACCAGTACCATCATAATCATCCACATCACCGTCATCCTCCTCATCATCAGCAGCAACATCAGCATCAGCATCAACATCAGCATCATCATCATGATCACCATGATGATCATCATCATCAGCAGCAGCATCAGCATCAACATCATGATCAGCATCATCACCATAGTCATCCCCATCTGCTTTATCATAAGCATCATCATCATCATGTTCATGATCATCATCATCATCAGCATCATCATCATTGTCATTGTCAGCATCATCAGCATCTGCTTCAGCAAATGAATCATCAAAGGCACTGCCAACAGCATCGTCACCATCATCACCACCATCAGCCTCATCATCACTATCATTAGCATCGTCATCATCCTCATACTCATCCACATCACCATCAACATCATCGTGCTCACCATTACCACAATATCACAACAACTGTAACATACCATCCCCCATGTTCCGTTGTACATATGTCATGTTCCTCCGCGTCACCATACTTATCCTGATCAGGTTCGCCTTCCTCCTCCTCCTCCTCCTCCTCCTCCTCCTTCTCGTCTCTCCTCCTCCTCCTCATGCCCCTACCCTCTCTTTATCCTAGTATTCATGCCCCTCCTCACCTTCTTTTCCTCATTGGCTTCACCAATCCTCATCTGGTTGCGGATGCAACTGCCACTTCTCCTCCTCCTCCGCCTCATCATCATCCATGTCCTCCTCTAACACCTTCTGATCCTCCTCCTCTTCCCCCTCTTCAATCCTCCTTTTGCAATGCTCCTGCCCCCATCTGCCATCCATCCTGATCCTTCCTACCTCCCTATGCCCTTACTCTCCCCTCCCACTTCCCTCCCTTCCATTCCCCCATTCTCTTTCCATCCTCCTCTTTCCCAATCCGCCTCCTCTCCTCTCCATCCCCTTTTTATATCCCTCCTTGCCCCCCTTCCCCTTCCCTCCTGGCTCATCCGTCTCGTTGTTCTGACCCTCCCCACAGTCATCCTTCTACCCATCCCCCTGCTACTGCTCATTCCCTCGCCCTCCTCCTCCTCAGGACTGCACCTCCTACATCCGCATACTCGCAAACGGCGCAGGGAGCCCCAGTCTTTTTTAATGTCTGGTCCACTGCAGGTCCGCCGCCGAATAGAGGATGTGCCCCCTCCTCAGGTGCTCGGCGTCTGGAGACTCTCCGGAGCCTGGCTCGAGCTTGACACTGTACCTGACCCGCGACCCATGGTCCCCTTCTCCGCTCCTGCTGAAAAGTACACCTGGGTGCCACCGTAGGAAGAAAGAGGTTGGCGAGTCGGAACAGGCCTACGTACCAGGAGGCTGTAAACACACAGGGCTGGATTCACATGCGGCACGTCCAGAGGCCAGTTACTGCGCACACGTGCGGAGGATCACCGCGCCCGCACATAATCCCGAGTTCCGAGCGTTTGCAAGACGTGCGGCTATCTGGCATCCCAGCTCTCGCCCAGGCCTGGCACGCCATGTGCACCGAGCTTTACTGACCCGAAGACGGTCGGCGTGAACGAGAGAGAGGATCCTCAGCGGAGTGGGTCCTGGGCCTTGCGCCTCCCCCGGGACCCTGCTTCCCTACCCGAGCAGTCTTGTCAGGGCCATCGGCCCAGACGTGCCCCCGGAGGCTGAAAACCAAGGAGAATCACAGGACCCTTATTGTCGCACGGCGAGGCAGAGTGGTTGAAATGGAAGGGGGAGAAGGAAGGAAGGAGGAACGCCAACGGCGAAAGCAACACCAGGGGAATGATGAGCAGCGTCATCGAGGAGAGGAGAGTGAGAAAGGAAACAACAAAGAGAAGGTGAGTAGGGCAGGGGGAGATGACCACGGCCCCGTGGGAACCCAAGCACCTACGCTTTCACTGATCAGATGGTGTGTTCCCATGCGATAGCATACTCTTGCCACTCAAATTGCTAGGCACTAGACACCTGACTAAGCCGTGCTTCTGAGTCCTGTCGATTGGTCATTCCAGGGCTGCAAAGCAGCTTCGCTGTCGCGCGGGCGCCGTGCAGTCAACGCAGCACTGGAGGGAAACTTTGATCAGCGAACCACGCCGACGAAGAAGACAAACACTACCCAGGAAGATGGAAGCACTGATGGCTGGAGCCACACGTGGATCATGCGGCCACCACCTGCATGATGCACGTGCGAAGCCCGGCACACCTGGCCATACAAGGGCCAAGCGCTGGAATGCCAGAGGCGGCATGTGCATCCGGCTCTCGCCCAGGCGAGCCGAGTCGTGTGTGCGGCTCTGGGCAACATGGGCCCCACAAGTGTTGAAGTCTCGTTCTCTAACTTCCGCCGACGCTGCCCGGCGGAGGCGCCGTCGCTCTGCTTCCGCCGCCCTCCGCCGGCCTTCCGCCGACTTTTTCGCCGAGGGCGAGCTGCGCCGCAGGCGAAGGCCTTCTCTGGAGCGCTCGCGCAGGGCACGGGGCAGGGGCGATCTGAGAACAGAGGTGGCACGGAAGGTGGCCCTGGCGCCAGCCTGCTCCACGGCCCTCCCCTTGAGGATGAGGGTGGGGGAGCTGCCTGTCTGCGCCCGTGCTTGCCACAGGAATGAATCTCTCCGTCGCCTTCCCCGTCGCCCCCTCTCCTTATACATGTTGTTGGTTGCTGCTTTCTCTCTCATTCTCTCTCTCTCTCTCTCTCTTTCTCTCCCTCTCTCTCTCCATACATCGGGGGGTGAGGTCGCAGTGAAACGGACAGCCCCCCACCAGGAATTGGTTTCGGTTTCGGACCGCGCGTGCAGGCGAAACGAATTTGAGTGGGCGGGCGAGAGGAATGATCCCACCCTGGCTAGGGCGAGCCCGGGCTCAATCAATGTCCCTCCTCCCCACATCTTGCCAACGGTGCCCCAAGGGTGTCCCGCCAGTGTCCCGTGCGTGTCCCGCGGGTGTCCAGTGCTACTCGCTATGCGACTCGCCATGTTACTCGTTATCCTATTATCGATGCTACTCGCCACGATACTCACCATGCTGCTCGCGATGCTTCTCCCCATGTTACCTGCTATGGTACTGGATATGCTAGGCGATGCAACGCAACGCTAGACTATTAGATGCCGTCATCTCGCGAGCGCAGCACCAGCATCGCCAGCACCACAATAACCGCAGTTGTCATCAATTGGTCCCCCTCACAACAACATCCTTATCACCCGAATGGTGGTCGTAACCGCACATGTGTATATACATATATATATATGTATATATATACATATATATGTCCACAACTCCCCATATGACTCGGTGTCGTTTGTCTGACTGCATTCCACCTTGTTTCTCCCCTTTTCCAAATACATCTCCATGTCTGTCTATACCTACTCTTGCAATATGTATGATGTCATATCTCCCTCTCCCTGTCTTTCTCTCTTTCCCCCTCTCTCCCCATCCTTCAATCTCTACTCCTCATCTTACTCACGCTTGTCCCATTGCCTGATGTTCAAATCGGGCGTGTCCCTCTACAGGAAGAATGTTCAAACCAGTTATCAAACAATTATCTGGGTACGACTTTCGAATATTGCTGGTTGTTGATCATTGTTGCACATGTTTCGACTATGTTTTATTGTTCGTACAACACCCGCCTGTAGGAAGACACGCCCGACAGAGTCCAATGCAAGCTCACCTCCCCGTGCTCCGAGGTGCCACGCCCTGGCGCTGCACCCGCCAAACAACCCCGAGGCACCTGCGCCCGTTCTTGTTGGGATCGGAGCCGTCGCTCGTGGAGAACACGACCACGGGCGCCACCGCCTGGAGTTCACGTCCCCCCTTCCTTCCTTCCTTCCTTCCTCCTCCTCCTCCTCCCCTCATTTTCTTTCTTTCAGCGGTGGCCAATGTCGACATGCGCACAGCCATAGCAAGGGGAAAACCTTACCAGCCCACTGCAATTCCTACCGCTGCTCACTTCTCCCCAATTTCGTAGAAAACAATACCTCCCGTGCCGGTGCCCACTCCAAACTCAGCACCTCCGCCAAACATGAAGACTGCAATGTTCCAAAAAGTTTGCCACCCATAAACGGCGTTCCCCTGCCAACGCCGGCTGAATACGAATAAACTGCAAGTCCTCCTGCTGCAAGCCCATCTCTTCCGCCCCGGAGAGCTCCGTCAAAACTGAGATGTAGATGTGTTTCCCTGTGTCTCGCCCTTGTTACTGCAAGCGCGTCCTCCTTGACCCAATATGTGTCCATGTCCAGCGCTACGTTTGCCGCGTGGTCGGCGGCGTCGTTGTACGCGCGGTCTACGAATCCGGTCGTGTTCAGGCGCGGCAAGAAGCCCAGGTACAACAACCTCTGCAGCACGTTGCACACCTGGACGAAGATAGGGCGAAGCTCTGGACACTCTATCGTTGCACGGCCGTTCAATACTGATTCCGACAACTGGTTATCTGTCTGTATCCACAACCTCCGGGAGCCTGCATTCCACTCGAATTCTTTGTGGAAGTGGGGACATACCGGCACGTCGTCCACGCCCGAGGTCAAGCGGACTTTTTTGTCCGGAGGTCCGCTGGCAACTTCGTCACGTTCTTCCCCACGCAACAGTCCCCACTTCGCACACAGCTGCTGACTGAAGTTGGCGAGGCGTGACATCCAAGCTGCCGAATCAGAGCAGTCATTCAACTGCTCCCTCCAATCGTCCCCCCACAACTCCACGAAAGGACGCTCCCAAACGTGGACTGATTGCCAGAATGGCCGCGGACGAGCCCCACCTTGCGGCGTTTGCTCTTGGACGTAAATGCCCGCATCCCTCCCCACCACCGTGAATTCCGGTACGACCTCAGACACTGAAGAATTAAGTCGCCCGGGCGGGCAGCGAACCAAGAATCTGAATGCGGCCTTGAATGCAAATGTGATGGCTCTTTGGGGCCTGCATGAAATTCCCGACTTCCTCATCCATGTTTCAATTCTCCGGGCAGTCCGCTCGTTGTACTTGAAATTTCCTTCTCCAGGCTTCCCCTGGAGCCTCAGGATTTTCCGTAACATGTTCAACTCCCGACGCTTTAACGTCCAAAGCAAACCAAGAGATAGGTGCCAACTGCAACAGTTGTACAATGCAATCGAAGATGTCGTGTCATGCCACAACCGCAAACGCTTTGTTTACGAAAGGCCCGGGCTGGAGAGTGTGCCACGATGTTTGTAATAGTGCGACTCTGCCTTGCCAACGTTGGATGTCCACGACGCGAAGGAAGCACCAGCTGGATCGAAGAGGTCGCCCAATAACGCCAATTGTTCGAGTTCTCCATACGTGTGGCGCTCACCATCTTGAACGATCGAAATGTCCCCGACGTCTGCTGCTGTCAGAGATCCGCCGCACATGTATTCAAGCGAAGATGGCTTCCACTTCAAATACTGATTGCCGGATGAGTCCGTGTACGCCCCAATGGCCGCGTCGACGTCGTTCACCATGGCCTGTAGCATAGCTTGAGTGGCGGCGATCAACACAACGTTATCCACCCAAATCGCATGGCCCAAGCAGCGTTCTGGAGAACCGTCGTCACAAGGCACGCCAAAACCTATGCCTAACGATTCCCATTTTTGGACTACCGGCTCCAATATACATTCAATCATCGCGTTCCACCCATCCGGGGTTTCAACTCCGCCTTGTTTTCCCCCGCGTTGGAAATCAACAGGGGCAGAGACTTCAGTTAGAGGTAAAGAGATCGTGGCACGTATCTGGTGGAGTTCGTGCATCAGCAAGGCCGTGTCCCGCTTGCCCACACCTCTCGACAATAAAGACTCCATGATCAAGTTGTGCGGCATGGAATCGAAAGCCGTCGCGATGTCCTGTACTCCGATAGCCACCGGTCGTTTCCACGTGTCTGCGATGTAAAGAATCTCCCTCACTACTCCATTCAAGTCGGCCGTGGCCGCGTGCTTGCGGAATCCGTATGAGCTGACGCTGGACGGCAAAAGCTGGCCGCGGATTCTCGGACGAAGTGCACGACTGTACTGCTTCTGACGTACGGGCGATTTGCCTATCCACCTGAAATCTGCCAGACTCCGTGCAAGTTTTGTATTGGGCAAACCTATGAACTGAAGGATCCTCCAATACTTCGAACTCTCCCTATGGTCCAACGTACTGCTAATAGTGGCAAAATGTTCGTGAGACCGGGCAATGGACAAAAACGGTAAAGCCTTGAATATGTCAGCCGGGTTCCCGTCAGTGCCAGCAGCTCCACCAGCTCTTGTACCTGCGACTGCTTGCAACGTATCCCAAAACTCTAATGGTGTAGGCTTCCCCTCGCGGTCTGCTGAAGATGCCAACTCGGATAGCCGGGCTGCCTGCATGGGAAATGTATTCGCATCATCACCAAACCGTTGCTGCCCGAAGGTGCACGCTGCTTCAAGCCACTCCGACCTGTCATACGAAACTTGACCATCAATGGTTAAGGACATCGGCACACAAATATCAAGAACAGGTTTCTGTCGTAACGCGGATGCCTTCTGAGTCATGCGCCGTCTTCTCAATGATCGCACTTCAACCCAAATCGTCTTCATCAACATCTTCCGAACAGCAATATCCGTTTCCACCCTGAGTCGAAATCTAAGTTGTCGGAGTCGTTGCTTGTATGCTGCCACTGGTTGGGCCATCAACTGAGCCTCCCATTCATAGTGCATCGAAACAATCTCGGAAAACACATTCTCGAAACAGCAGAAACATTTTGGCTCAACACTTCCAGCCTCGTCATGCATTTCTGGAAAGATAAACGAACCTGGTCATCCTCGAAAACCTTCTTGGGAAGCTTCCGGGCAGCTGCGTCTGCCTGTCGACCCGTCGAAACTGGAGGAAAATGCCAACGAACAGCAGCCCAAACTGGACGATTATCCATCTTGTTGGTGAGTGCGGATTCCGACTTGACGTCCAAAACGTTCATGGCCATCCCGTGCCCCACAAGGCCCGGCGAGACTGCCAGGAAATCGATCTGGGACCGGTCCTGAGGTTTCCGCCTGAGTCCGCACGTCCACAACTCTCCTGGGGAAGCGTCGTCCCCAAAAGTGTTGAGAGCCCGGATCTCCAAGGCCCCCAACCAAGAAATAATGAGTTGTTGCATACTCCCGCTGTGGGATAGAAGTGGAGGCCTGACGGCGGGCCCCGTGATACCATCCCAGTTCCCAGGAAGCGTCACATTGGCATCGAATCCAGCTGCCACCATCAGGTTCTGACCGAATTTGGCGACGCACTCCTCCCAAAACTATACAGTCTCCTCCCTGGCCTCATCGATGAAATCGGCTCCAAAAGTCTTATCTTCGCAACTACTCTCCTTCTCCTCCTCCTCCTCCTCCTCCTCTTCCTCCTCATTCTCCTCCTCCTCTTCCTCCTCCTCCTCTTCCTCTTCCTCCTCACCTTCTTCTTCTTCTCCCTCCTCCTCCTCCTCCTCCACCTCCTCCTCCTCCCCTCCTTCTTCTCCTTCTTCTTCTCCTCGTCCTCCTCCTACTCCTCCTCCTCCTCCTCCTCCTCCGCCTCGGCTGGCACGCCCCGCAGATAGGGGGCGATATCCGAGCCCTGCCGCCACGAACCGTCGGTTCAGCTGAGGCCATGGGAGGCGGACTTCGCCACGTGCTCGACGAAGTCCGAGCCCAACCCCCGCTCCCCATCGAGTTGCCGTGGTCGTGGATCGGCGAGGGTAAGATTCGGATTCCAGCGCCGACCAAAAGGCCCTGGATGCCAGAGGGAGCAATCTCAGCACGTCACGTTTGAGCGGAAACGTCAGGTGGGGGTCCGGCTGAAGGGGGGGGGGGGACATCGAGCGAATCTGAACGCTCCTGGGCGGGGTGAAGCTATCGGGCCTCTTTCGGCGATCAATGGGAGATTTGGCGGTCGGTGCATCTCCTCCTGAGCATAAGTATCCCCTTCGAATGTTGCTCTTGATCGTCGCCTTGGAAGGACCACGGTGGAAACCAGCGAAGGAAGCACTGGCAAGGCGAAGCGGATATAGCACGTACATATGGTAAGACATAGTACCATGCGCCCAAGCAGCCCCGCAAAACCGTACAAAGAGGCCCCCCAGTAGCCCCGAATAGGCCCCAAATCGGATTCCGATAAGCATCTGGGCCTTTTCTCCAAGACCAGAAGGGCCGAAAGCCACCACCCAAGAATTTTGGGGAAGGGCGACCGCTGGCAGTTTCGGGCGAGACGCGGCGGGACCGAAGCCGCCTGCTTGGAGTGAATTTCGTTCCCCCACCATCCTGATCCTGTACAGGCTGAAAACAGGAGGAGTGGAGGATCGTCTACGAGAGTCCCAATATGGCTTCAGACGAGCACGTGGCACCGCTGATGCATTGTTCTTGGCGCGCCGCCTCATTGATGCGGCATTGGAGGACAGGGAAGGAACGCTTATGTTATTGCTCCTGGATTGGGCCAAAGCATTTGATCGTATCAAACCTGTTGGATTACTTCACGCTCTGCGGCAATGTGGGATACAATCTGACATGATTGGCATGATCAGTGGAACGTATACCGCCCGTAAGTTCATCGTGAGGGGAGGGGAAACCAAATCTTCGCAGAGGTCGCAGAACGCAGGGATCGCTCAAGGGTGTCCCTTGTCACCATATCTAGTTGTCATCGTCATGTCGGTTCTATTTCAAGCAATGGACGACAAAATGCATGGCCACAGTCAGTCGGCATCCATGAAGCCGCATCTCATCACAAGGGACATACTCTACGCCGACGACACACTTTTGGCATCGAAGGACCAACATACTCTTCAAAAACACGTTGACATAATCGCAGAAATTGGGAAAGCATCCGGTTTGGAGCTCAACGCTGGCAAACCAATACTGCTTAACATTGGATGTGCGTCTACAATACTTTGGCCAGGAGGCGAACCGATTCAGTGCCAAGCCAACGCCGTATATTTGGGCGGCTTCCTGAGCACGGACGGGAATCCCAAGACAGAGTTGACACGACGTATTGGTGAAGCGAAAGGGGCTTTTCAAAAACTCAGTGCTGTTTGGAACCACGCAAACGTATATCGTCAGCGAAAAGTACTCATACTGGAAACTTGCATTTTCTCGAAATGGTTGTATGGACTTGAACCATGCATGTTGCTTGCCGCCGATCGGGAAAAACTCGACGGCTTTCAGGCTCGGCGTCAGCAACAAATCCAGAACATCCCGCCAGCCTTCATTTCAAGGGTAAGAAAGAGAGAGAAGTAAAGTTGAACGTCTGTCGAACACCTTATTGCACAGGCAGCTCAAATACTACGGCAAACTCGCCCGATATCAGCCGTGGACGCTGCCTAGACAGATGTTGTTCCAAGACGGCCAGGCGGGCGAGATCTTACCGAGAAGTTGGAACATGCGCCGCAAACGAGGACGACCTAGAGTTCAATGGGGCCACTACTTGCACGCCTGCGCCCTGAACGTGGCGGGGGGCGATCCGGATCGTTTACAGCATCTCCTGAGAAGCCCGCGTGCGCAGTGGGAGGCTGCTGTGGTACAGTATTGCAGACATAGTAAGCTCAGTGCCCTCTTTCCCTCGTCGATTTCCTTCCCCTCCCCCTCCCCTTTCCCCTCCCTGCTCCGCCTCGCTGCCCGTCTTCTGCTTCACAGTCGGGCGCTCCATTTTCTGCTTCACCGTCGTAGGGCGCTTCGTGCCCCTTGCATGTTGTCCCGCAAGTGAATTGTCTTCCGTTGCCCGGCATTGACCTACGCTCAGTGTCTGTGTTCCGGCGCGCTTGCATTCGCGCGGCAGTATTTCACATCTGTCCTTGGCCTTCGAATCATGTGGATGTTCTGCCGATGCACCGTCTAGGCGCGGCTTCTTGCGTGCGCGTGTACCATCCTAATCCTCCCATTTCCTCCGACCCGGCAGGGTTGTTGTTGTCATCCTCGCGCTCCTCCCCCTCGCCTTTCCCACGCCGAGGCCAGAACCAGGACACAGCCGTCGGGGAACTCTAGCATCTGGCGGTTTGGGAGGATGTATCGGGCGCCGCGGCCTTTCCAGAGCGTTCCAGGACGGTGCGACAGAGCCCCGGGACGCTCTGGAGCGATTTGTCCCGGTCCTGGGCCCCGACTTGTCAGGGGGACGCAGAGCAGCGCTCGCCGAGATCGCGGCCGAAGGCCAGGCCGGGGAGGCGCGCTAGAGCGGCGAACGCCCCGCCTCCTGGCTTCCCAGAGTCCACGGCTGGCGGAAGTACCGCCCAGGTCGCTCGCACATGTGGCCGTCTGCGCCGAACCTTGCCATCCAATCCTCCGGGTGGAGAACGAGGGATCAGGATGGGACACCATAAAGCACGTGCAGAGCAGGTCCGTACATGCAAGCGCATGGAAGATCCCGCCGACGGGCGCAGGACGGATGCAGGGGACACAGGACGGGTGAAGGCGGAGAGAGGGGGAGGGAAAAGAAGAGGAAGGAAAGGAAGGAGCCAGGGGGGCGAACCATGGGCCATGAGGGGCGCAAGGGGTGAACGGGGGGGGGGGCACGAGGTGGTGGTGGTGACTGGCCTGAAGGGCGGGCCCAGCATCAGAAGAGCTCGCCGTCTGAGGCCTCCCGCCCCCCGCCAGAGACCTCAACGGCGCGACGCTGCCCATCGCGCATTCGGGACAGCTCAGGCTCTAAAATCCTAGAGGCCGCGAGCACAGAAGCCCGCGTGGGAAGTCCAAGAGCAGAGCCATACTCGGACGACCGCACGTCGGCCACGTCGTCCGCACACTCAACGACCTGCTCCTCGATCTCGCTTTTATTTAAACGGGCCCAGGGACACACACACATACACACAGGATTCCTCATATTTCCCATATGTTTTGGGTTTTCGACTTCACCCTCCTATATTTTCCTGGGAACCGACGATGAATTGTCTCTGTGTGTTTTTTCTCCTCCTGAGTTTTCTCCTGCACCGACCAAGGGCCAGAGGAACCGAGCACCAGGAACTTCGTCGTGGGACGGTCGGGTGGGTGCCTGACCGAATGTGTCCGAGCCCACTGGGGTCGAACTCCAGGGCTCGCAGGGGTGCGGCAAGACGCTTAGAGTGTCGGGCATGTCCCCCTGCAGGCGGATTCTGGACGAAAATGAAGAGAACAGAAACGCAATTCGAACAAAACACAACTAATAATACGAATAATGCAAATAAAAATAAATGGAAGAAACAATACATGAAGGAATAGAAATAATAATCATAAACATCGGCCCCAGACTATGTTTCGACTATCTTTGCGCATTCCTCCTGTAGAAGGACAGGCCCGACCTCAGCTTGGCGAGACGCCTCGGCCCACACAGGCTCCCGCGGGAGACGGCGTGGCCAAGGGCCCCTGGGAGGGGGACCCCGCTCCTGCAGGTTCACCGATAGGTGTCTCTGAATAAGTGTTGATACAATGTCGTCAACTCTCTCTATGTCCGTGGATCTCAAGCTCTCTTTTACCTCAGCACGCGCGAAGCCAAAGATGTATATCTCTCCTCGCCGCAAGCGTTGGTCTGCACGCAGTCCGGGTACTCTCCAGATAGCCAGCCCTCGAATCTGTCCCAGGGAAATCTCTTTGTCTGAATATTCTGATATTCAATCTCGATAATCTGGCTGGCTCTCTGGAACCAGCAAGTAATGTGTCTGACCGCCCAAAAGGCGGCTCAAGGGGCCCCTGAGCCACCATGATTACGGATAGCTGCAAATGGCACTCGCCACGCACTTACGGAAACGAAACGGACACGATTGAGCTCGCATCCCCAGAAATCTTAGTTGCAGCTACTCCATGGAAACGGCTTAGAGCCTCGAAACGTCCGCACCCGCTCTGGTGCGCCTCAGAAAATAAAACACGCAGTAGAACAGGCCATAAGACAGGAAACAGGACAGGCAACTGCAGCACAGCGGCGTCAGCCATAGGATGTAGGTTCACTCACTATCACGTTATCGTCATCATTGTCATCACCATCTGCTGCATCTGGTAACGACACTCCCACTTTCATGAATGCCATCTTGATGAGGCCAGAGATATCCTTGCTGTTCTCGAACCTGCTCATCCCGCGCTCCTTACGCTTCTTGGCACTGAGCTGCTCGTCGTCGTCTACCAGTGCCCAGCTCCACGTCTTCATGTACAGGTCGATGGGCCCTGTAGCTGTCGTCTTTGTCAAGCTGTCGGCCAGGTTGGCCTCGGAGTGGCACCGCCGCACAATCAACTCTGTCTCGTTGATGCACTTCTCGGAGGCCATCAGCTCGAGCGCCGTCCGCTTCTCAGCCAGGTTCTGCATCTGCACCTGCATGGCCAGACAGTCGTAGATGCTCTTAGCGTCCACGCACAGGCACGATCGCACCTGCTTCACGCCCTCCAGCATCAGCTTTGCCGTCTTGCTCTCGCTCGCGGTTCCCACGGCCACGTCCGAAACAAAACCGTTCAGCTCGGCCCACGTCATTCTTACCATGAAAAGCTCGTCCTCTGTCACTGTCAGCGCCTGAACCTCGGCCGCCAACGAACTCCTGGCCACGCGCTGTAGCTTGCCACTGCGATGCGAAACCCAGCCAACTGGGGCCCGCTTGCCGTTCAGGATGTCCGCTGGCGCAATCCCGATCACATATCCCCCTGTCGAGAGCCCGTCTGGTCGATTCGCCCAGGCTGCATCACTCCAGCCGACGACCACTCCTTCTCCCTCGAAGCTCTCGAACTTCAGCTTGTAGCCGTGATCGTTCTTCATCTGCCTGATCAGCTTGTTGATCCCGAAGAGCGTCTCCACTGTCGCCGTCGGTCCACTGCTCTGATATATTGAGCACTGCGCCTGATATTTCGGCATCGTCTGCGTCGCCACCCACTGGATCTCGCCCAGTGCCCCCCGAAGCGTCGTCATCTCCTTATCCGTCAGCTTCTGGTCCCGTTGTTTGCGACGCTCCTGTCCGATGTTGATCTCGGTGATGTTGTCGATGAACTCCTTCTGGTGTATGATGATATCGCTGCTGGCCGTCTGCATGACCGACAGTCCGGTCTGCTTGAAGCTTCCTTCCTCCCATGGAGCCCAGTGGAACGCCTTCTGCAGCTTCACCTCGATCTCTCGCCATCGAACTCCACCATCTCCGGCGATCAGGAAGTCGTCCACGTGTGTGCCAACTACCCCGAACACGTTGTTGTTCTCGTCGCTGAAAACCCAGACGCACGGGTCCGACACGCATCGTTGTCCACCGAGCTGCCCCATCAGGGTGTCCACGCTCTCGTACCACGACTTTGGTGCTTGACATAGTCCGTGCACTGCCTTCTTTAGTCTCACCGCTGTCCCCCCAGGTACTCCGAACACGCCTCGAACGCTACCTCGATGTAGTCGATCCCCGTCGGGATCTCCAGGTCCTCCTGGATCTCCGTAGCAGCCCACGCCGCCACGTCGAAGTTCCCCCAGTCGAGCTCGTCCCAGTCCATGTGGTCACCGTCCGCGATCTTGTCATTGAAGAAGGCACTGTAGCTCCTCAGTGCTGGTCCGAAGTTGGTCCGCACCCTGACCCTCCTCTTCGTCTTTTCGAACAGGTCGGTCTTGACTCTCCTCTTCTCGACGATCCGTCTTTTGAGATCTGCTCCTCCTGCCGTTGTCTGCTCCGCGTTCTTTACCTTCTCGCTCTCGATGTCATCCATTGACGGCTGGTCTTTCCCATTGTCCCCATGGGTCTCCGGTGCCTGCTCCACGGCCATCTTCTTCGCCTTCTCATGGATCACCTCCTTGGCGTTCTGGTCTACCGTCATCTCCTCTGGCTTGTCCGTGATGGGAAACAGGTAGGTCCTGCCAGTCCAGCGTCGTCCCATTGACCTCGTAGACTTCCCATGCACGTTCCAGTTGTCGTCCTTGATCGTCTCCTCGGATCCGTCCTCATACCTGATCACGGTGATCCTTTCCATGGTCGTCTTTTCCGGTTTGGATCTGAAGCCTCTTGGCGTAAACAACGCCACTCTCGGTCGCACATGTACTCTGACGTGTGCAGGTCGTCCTTCGAACTCACCTTCTTCCCAGTGGTCCCCCTTGTCTCCGTCTTCTGGTGCACGAGCTGTGGTCTCCGGTGCGTAGGCCTCCTCATTCATCGGCGCGTCCTCTTTGTCCACGGAAATCACCTCCCCCTTGTTGAGACTCTCCAGTCCTTCCACGAATGTCCAGGGCGTGTGCTTTTCCTCGAAGAACATCTCTTCTTCTCTTGGACTTGCCGCTCGTAGTTGTTCGGGCGCACACCTCCACAGCCTCGACCCAATCACGACCCATGCCTCTCTGGATTGAACGAGCGCCCCGTCGCTTGTCTTGGTCGTCTGCACCCCGAGGATGGTACCTGGTCCAAACCATCTGCCCTTGTCAATCCCATGATGTCGTTGTCCTGCTGGTGCTGGTTGTTTAGCCTGCTTGCCACACCTCCATACACATACCAGCATCCCAGGATACAGGTGTTGTGGTCGTTGATATCGTGCTGCTGCTGCTCTCGTCTGCTGCTGCTTGAGAATCCGCTCGCCAATGATCTTTGATGCCAGCTCCCGCATGGACAGGTTCTCCATGTAGCTCTGGTTCGTGCACTTCACGACGTCCAGGTGATCCTCCTTCTTGAGAGTCCCTGACCAGTTCTTGTCTCGTCCGAAGGCCCATTGGCTCGGACTGTATCCATCGACTCTCTCGACCGCGTTGTGTGCCTCCACCGCCGCATGTACAGCTGCCTCCAGGTCGGTCCCATGATCACGACGCATGGCCTTGGCGCACTCGAACGCCGTCTTGATTGCGCGCTCCGCGATGCCATTCTGCCAGTGAGCCTGGGTGGCACACGGATCCACCTGTATTCCTTCACCTGCAATACTGTCATAGAACTCGTGTGACACGAATGCTCCTTCCGGATCGAGCCTCAGTACGCTTGGCATCCCATGCCGATCTGTCCAATGTCCTCTGAACGCATCCAGCAGCTCCTTGGCGGCGCAGTTCGTCGACTCCTGGGCGGGTATTGAGAAGATCTTGACCTCCAGCGTCAGCTTACTCGCCTCGTCCACGATCACAAGGTACTTCCGCTTGATCTGGTCGTTGCCTACGATCTCCTTCACGTCGATGCCGACCGCCTGCCATAGATCTCGAGCTGGCTCGATTACCGCTGCTGGTCTGGGTCTTGCTATCTGATTCTCAATGCACGAGCTGCACTTGATCTGCTTCACGGCTGCGACTGTCGTCGCTGAAGCCCCGCGTCTTCGCAGGATCCTGATCATCACCCTCTGTGGTCGATGTCTAGTATTCCGATGCAGCCGCATCGCTGCTTTCATTAACTA